GCAAACATCTGCTTTTATCCGCAAACATTTATTTTAATCTGCAAACATCTGCTTTTATACGCAAACATCTGATGTTATCTGCAAACATATGCTTTTATCCGCAAACATCTGATTTTATCCGCAAACATCTGCTTTTATCGGCAAACATCTGCTTTTATCTGGAAAACACCTGATTTCATACGCAAACATCTGCTTTTATCCGCAAACATCTGCTTTTATCCGCAAACATCTGCTTTTACAAAAAAATAAAAGTTTATATACAAAAGTGCTCTTTTACTTCTTAAGAAGTCCCATAAGCCAACTGAATGGCTTGTGCGGGTTAGGGGTAGGAACGGACCGCGGGCTTAAAGTCCCCTCCGAAGGACTATTACACAATAGGACGAACACAAATAAACAGCCATACCCCTGGTGGGATCCGCAAACATCTAATTTTTTCCGCAAACATCTGATTTTATCCGCAAACATCTGCATTTATCCGCAAATATCTGCTTTTATCCGCGAACATCTGCAAACATCTGCTTTTAATTGCAAACCTCTGCTTTCCGCGTTCAGTTTGCCTGCATTTCCTTTGTCCATTTCGGTCCTGTTTCGTACGCAAACGTCTGGTTTCATTCGCGCTTTTTATTTTCCTTTTTATGGTGTATACTTTAGTTTAGTTTACCTGCTTTGTCAAATTTTACTGAGCTTTAACTAACTGGTTGTTAGCCGTTCACGCAGGGCCGGATTTACGAATTTGCCGCCCATGGGCCCAACACACACATATACAAATCATTTCTAACTGAGACTGTTTCCATTTCGTGGGGGTAAAGTAGGGGAAATGTTCTCACAGGGTAGCAGGCATTGAGGCGCATGCGTCAGCTGCATTGCCGGTTTAAAAAAAAATAACATATTTTTGTCCCTATTTAAGAAGTATAATAAATACTTTTTAATAAATTGGATATAAATTGGATGAAAAAAGCATTTAACAATAATAAACTCACAAAATGATGATATTTTAGATTTTATAATGGCATTTTTATAAAAGCAAGAATTTCGCAACATCGTATTCTGATCACGATTATCGTATCATAGCCAAAAGATTTTTATGATAGACATATAAATATGTAGATGGTTATTATAATTATCAATTTTGTTTGTTTTCTGTTGTATACCAATTGTTTTGGCATTGTTTTTTTCCATTGTTTTTACGAGATTGTAGTGGATTTTACATAATATGCATATTATGCCACTTTTTGCTTTTTATAAAGTCAAATACCAAAAATGTTTGTAAGCTTAACCCAGGCTATGGAACCAAATAATTTAGAAAAATTTTATATAACCTAAATTTTATTTAGTTGACAATTCGTATCATAAGTGGACGTATTAATTTCTCTATCTAATGTTATGTGATGTCTATGGTATCATATATTTTAAATCCCCCACTTATGAACTGACTATGCGCAAAAAGGAAAATGGCACACTACGAGAACAAATTTCCCCTTAGAAACGGGAACAAGGTCATCTATACAAAATATAGGCAATAAGCGGTATATGTGTGGAAGTATGTGCCAACGCATCACTACCCCGAATAACGAATGACTCAGCGAATATGCTAGAGTCGCGCCCCACTCGCCTCGTGTACATCGACTGCAGCCCTTCTACGCAGTGACGCACTACGCAGAATAATAGTGTAGTCTGATATAAAATTATCTAATGTATTAAAAAACTTCTCTTCCAACTTTTTATAGTTTTAATTAGTGTATAAATCTGAGTGAAAACAAAAATTCTGCATAATAGCAAAATTTTAACTGGCCTTCAAAATTTGCCGCCCCTAAAAATTTGCCGCCCTGGGCCCGGGCCCATGTGGCCCATGCCTAAATCCGGCCCTGCGTTCACGGCAAACAACTTTATAACTCTAAAAGGAATTATTTGAATAAAAACAACCTGTAAAGGAAATAAGTTTATTCAACACGACATTTTCCCAATGGGAAAATAATTTAATTATATTCACCAGATTTAAATTTAAAAATCAGGTATACTATAGTGAAGAGTACCACAGAAATAATAAGTCTGTTTATTCTTTTATATATATTAAAAATATTGGTTATGCCAAAATTAAAAAGTTTATAAAGTTAGATGAAAAATTCTACGCCGAAATAACAATACAAATTCAAGATGTTATAATTCCAAATGTATTTGAAATTAAACATATATGTTTTCTAACAATTATTTTAAAAGTAAGCTTAATGATTAAAAAATGTCTATTTATGTCTTTTAACAAAGACCTTATTTGTATTTTACCAAATAATATTGAAGTTCAATAAACGTATTTCCTTTACAGGTTGTTTTTATTCAAATAATTCCTTTTAGAGTTATAAAGTTGTGTGCCGTGAACGGCTAACAACCAGTTAGTTAAAGCTCAAAGATGTTTGCAGATGTTCGCGGATAAAAGCAGATATTTGCGGATAAATGCAGATGTTTGCGGATAAAATCAGATGTTTGCGATTAAAATCAGATTTTTACGGAGAAAATCAGATGTTTGCGGAAAAAATCAGATGTTTGCGATTAAAATCAGATGTTTGCGGATAAAATCAGATGTTTGCGGATAAAAGCAGATGTTTTCGGATAAAAGCAGATGTTGGCGGATAAAATCAGATGTTCGCGGATGAAAGCAGATGTTCGCGGATGATTGCAGATGTTCGCGGATAAAAGCAGATGTTTGCGGGTGAATGCGGGGGTGCACTAACCGGATGATATCAGGCGTTCGCAGATAAAAGCATGTTTGCGGGTGAAACCGTATAAAAGCAGACGTTCGCGGAAAAAGCAGATGTTCGCGGGTGATTGCAGATGTTCGCGGATAAAAGCAGTTGTTCGCGGGTGATTGCAGATGTTCGCGGGTGATTGCAGATGTTCGCGGATGAAAGCAGATGGTCGCGGATAAAAGCAGATGTTGGCGGATAAAAGCATATGTTGGCGGGTGAAATTGGACTAGGCAGACGTTTGCGGGTAAAAGCATATGCTCGCGGATAAAACCAGAAAAAAATAGACAAAAAAATGCAGGTAATCGCGGATAAAACAAGAAAAGCAGATGTTATCAGATGATATTTTTACCCGCTTTTATCTGCTTTTATCCGGCTTCGACGAAGAATTTATACCCGCAATCATCTGATTTTATCCGGTTTTGACGAAGAATTTATATCCGCAATCATCCGTGATTTTCAGCAGGGTGAGTACTTACTAAAGTTATTAGTGGCTGCGTTTTGACTTATACAATTGTTAACCATGGGATTATCCCCAACATTTAACAACCAATTTTTATGTAAAATTGTCCCCTGAATCCGAAAATACCGATAAAATTTATAAATTCCATAGTAGGTAAATTGAAAAGTGACTATATCTCAAAAACTATTCTTCTTTTGACATTTTCGGATTCAGGGGAAAATTTAACATGAAAATTGACTGCTAAATATTCGGGATACAAATTGCTATTGACGAGAATTTTTGACTAATTCATTTTTAGAGAGTATCTTTATTGCATTTTTTTAAATTTATTAACAGCCAACAAAAACTTCATATAAATAAAAAAAATCATAAAACTATTTAATTACTTTGCTTTATAAAAGTCGTTTTATACACTAGAAGGTCAATTATTAAAACTAAGGCAAATACATCTATAGGCATTATAAGGAATAAATACCAAGGTAAGTGACACTTTTTAGTTTATTATTTCAAGTAGGCATTATGATAAAATTCTTTACTTAATATATATAGGTATACATACACGTTGATTTAAGTATTTTAAGAAAAATGTTTTTATAAATGTTGTTTTAATAGTTATCACAATCCACAAAACGTGGATTGTGATAGTTATAATATTTTTTGCACTATTTAACTATTTAATTTTAATTAATTTAAGTAGGTAATTTTAAATTCGTCTGATAGCTGTCAGCAAATAAAATTGGCTTAAATTATTCTTTGTGTTCTTTGTGCAACTCGTTTATTAACTTTTATGACACTCGCTCGCCATCGCAACTATTAAAATCTTAGCAACCCATGAGCCCACTCGGTGCGCTATCAGAAGATACAACAACTTTTTGTTTGTCTCTGCTATCAGTAATAAAAATATCACAACACTCCGCCCGCTACGCTCGGGCATAATTAAACTCGTAACTTAAATATCGTTTATAAAACTTAAGTTGGTACCTACATAATATACAATACAATTTAAGAACAATAAATATTATTGCAATAACTTACTTATTAGAGTAAAATAACTTTTACAACACTACGGAATTATTTATTACATGTTCATTTATTAATGAAAACACGCTTGTATAGTTTTTTTAACATTACAAATAGGTATTCATAAATAGTTAGTGTCACAGTTGAAATGGATCGACTTTATTGTAAAATACCCTTTTTTATTTTGAATATAGGTACCTTTCAATTTCTAAAAAAAAAACCTTTCAACCTTTCAATTTCTAAAAAAAAAACAGGCTAGAAAGTTGGACAATTATTGCCCAATGATGACATTATTGTATCACAAATGGGCAATTATTGAACATTCATTGATTTCTAAATGATTGGTCAATAATTGCCCGTAAACGCGGAAGTCTCTGTTACCAATAATTGCCCATTTTGAAATGGACAATTTTTGGGCAATTATTGAGAAGGTTGTGCTTATTGTGTTGGTACATAATATACAATACAATTTAAGAACAATAAATACTATTGCAATAACTTATTTATTAGAGTAAAATAACTTTTACAACACTACGGAATTATTTATTACATGTTCATTAATAATGAAAACGCGCTTTAGTGCGTAAAATTTCACATATAATAAAAAAGCAACTTTAAAGAAAAGTGTATCTTAATGTATCAAAAATTATGTACCTACTATTGGTATTTGTTTTTATTATAATCTTCCATTATATTACGAAAAATATTTTAGAAAATCGGGAGAAATATTTTAGAAAATTACATTTTAAAGTTTTTCACATTCAATGTTTATTTCTTACCTGTAAAGCATCCTTTGGAAGACCTAGCTTTAAAATTTAGTACCGGATTAATACTTTTCAAGCTGCATGGGGAAAATTGATTATTATTTTTCTTATCGCCAGATGTGGCCCTTGCAAACATGATATAATTTCCGTCCTCCCCGCCTGGCGTACATTGCTCTGGATCATGCTAAAATTAAACTTTCAATTGGGTGCGCATTGTCTATTAGGAAATTAATTTGTTAATTGAGAAAAATGTTCGTTTTTTTCCTTTTTATTTCTTGTTTATATTTTTTATAGCATCAAAGCTAATTTGAGTAAACCCAAAAAATAAGACATACAACTAAACTAAACTAAAGCAAATAAAAATGACGTACAGGTGATCCAAAGTTATGTCCAATCTCATGGGCGAGTGTGACATGAGACACCGCAGGAGGAACGTGCTTGCCGTAGTTTAGCAAAGTAACAATCCCGGTGTTGAGGGATTTCATGCTGCCCCTGTAGTGCTAAAAAACAAAAACAAAAAATAACATAAAAATCGATGTTCTGCAACAAACTTTCTTATGTTTTATACCCCATTTTTCTCGCATACCCCTCCGGCATTCTTTAAATCGCCTGTCCAGGCCAAACCTAAAGTTCCCATCTCGAAATCCCGGTACGTGAACATGTAAGCAAGACAAAATGCATCGTAATCTTCCTCTGAAATAAATTTCCAGATTAAATTACCGCAAATTTTACATTCAATGAATAATATATCATTTTTCTTAATAAGCTTAGTTTATTACCCATTCTGGATTTAATCCCCAACAAATAACCAAAAATTAGTCAAAAGCTTTTGGTGGCATTACAAAAACTAAATATCCTTAGATAAACTTTATTATATTATCTAGATATTATCAGCACTCACATCTTATTAAAACTGTTATGAAGCAATTCTTTAAGCAAGTTTGGTAAATTAAGATATAGAAGGCTGGATGTAGTTGCAAGGTATGGCGTAGTGCGCCATTTTCGACACCTTGTATAGAGTAAGATCACGTCAAGTGGACCCCCCATTTACCTCTTGATCGTGGAATTCAAATAAATATATTTTAATATAAAGTAGTCACCATCAATAATAAAACCCTAAAACAGTTTTTTGAAATTTTCATTTTAACACCAATTTTTTTTACAATGAAAATTTTGGAGACTTTTAATTTAAAAAAAGATAACAGAAAAACCGTTAGAGATATTTTAATAAAATTTTTAGAATTTATTGTTTAATATTCACATTTTGAAAAACAATTAAAAATTTTAAATTATTTATTTATTATCATATTTTTAATTAACTTTTAAATAAACAAATAAAAATTTTAATGACTTCTCCCTCAAATTATAAATTTGTTTTATTTCAGTTATATGCATTGTACACTTTAGTTAAATATTCTGCAAGAAAATTCCACTGCCCGCTATTAGTTTAAACAATATGAATTTATTCCCGAGCGCGAGCGCTTTCGGTATAGCGCGCTGCCGCGGCATGCCGGCGCGCCGTAGACTCGGCATCCGCTCCAATCAGTATTAATAAATAATAAACTGTCGTTGACAATAGAAAACCATGTTATTTAACAAATTTAATTTTTTTAATGTAATAATTATAACAAATAGATATTATATCTACTGTTTTTATTGTTTTTTTAAATTATGTTTATTTCTTTTTTATATATAAACAATAATAACAAATTAAGTTTACAAGCCATTCAAAATTTTCAAAAAAATTTTACAATGAAAATTTTGGATAGTTTTAATTAAAAAATAGATGACAAAAAATCCGCTCCAATCAGTATTAATAAATAATAAACTGTCGTTGACAATAGAAAACCATGTTATTTAACAAATTTAATTTTTTTAATGTAATAATTATAACAAATAGATATTATATCTACTGTTTTTATTGTTTTTTTAAATTATCTTTATTTCTTTTTTTATACATAAACAATAATAACAAATTAAGTTTACAAGCCATTCAAAATTTTCAACAATTTTTTTACAATGAAAATTTTGAAGAGTTTTAATTAAAAAATAGATGACAGAAAAACCGTTGGAGATATTTTAATGAAATTTTTAGGATTGAAAAATAATTCAAAATTTAAAATTTTTAAGAAAAAATATAAAAAAGTAACATGCTGAGGGAAAATTTATGTTTCATTTAATTATTTGTTAATGATTATAGTCTTTATTTATAAATATAAACAAATATTATATCTATTTGTTATAAATTACATTAAAAAAAATTATTTTTTTTTTAACATTGTTTCTTATTGTAAAAGACAGTTTATTTTCTTTAAATACTAATTGGAGCGGTGGTCGTGTCTACGGCGCGCGGCATGCCGCGGCAGCGCGCTGAACCGACAGCGATCGCGCTCGGGGATAAATTAATTCATATTGTTTAAACTAATAGCGGGCAGAGAAATTTTCTTGCAGAATATTTAACTTAAGTGTACAATGCATGTAACTGAAAAAAACAAATTTATAATTTGAGGAAAAAGCCATTAAAATTTTCATTTGTTTTTTTAAAAGTTAATTAAAAATATCTCCAACGGTTTTTCTGTCATCTATTTTTTAATTAAAACTCTCCAAAATTTACATTGTAAAAAAATTGTTGAAAATTTTGAATGGCTTGTAAACTTAATTTGTTATTATTGTTTATATATAAAAAAGAAACAAAGATAATTTCAAAAAACAATAAAAACAGTAGATCTATTTGTTATAATTATTACATTAAAAAAATTAAATTTGTTAAATAACATGGTTTTCTATTGTCAACGACAGTTTATTATTTATTAATACTGATTGGAGCGGATTTTCTGTCATCTATTTTTTAATTAAAACTATCCAAAATTTTCATTGTAAAAATTTTTTTGAAAATTTTGAATGGCTTGTAAACTTAATTTGTTATTATTGTTTATATATAAAAAAGAAATAAACATAATTTAAAAAAACAATAAAAACAGTAGATATAATATCTTTTTGTTATAATTATTACATTAAAAAAATTAAATTTGTTAAATAACATGGTTTTCTATTGTCAACGACAGTTTATTATTTATTAATACTGATTGGAGCGGATGCCGAGTCTACGGCGCGCCGGCAGCGCGCTATACCGAGAGCGCTCGCGCTCGGGAATAAATTCATATTGTTTAAACTAATAGCGAGCAGTGGAGTTTTCTTGCAGAATATTTAACTAAAGTGTACAATGCATATAACTGAAATAAAACAAATTTATAATTTGAGGGAGAAGTCATTAAAATTTTTATTTGTTTATTTAAAAGTTAATTAAAAATATGATAATAAATAAATAATTTAAAATTTTTAATTGTTTTTCAAAATGTGAATATTAAACAATAAATCCTGAAAATTTTATTAAAATATCTCTAACGGTTTTTCTGTTATCTTTTTTTTAATTAAAAGTCTCCAAAATTTTCATTGTAAAAAAAATTGGTTTTAAAATGAAAATTTCAAAAAACTGTTTTAGGGTTTTATTATTGATGGTGACTACTTTATATTAAAATATATTTATTTGAATTCCACGATCAAGAGGTAAATGGGGGGTCCACTTGACGTGATCTTACTCATACTAATATAAATCATTTCTTCCGTTAATTTCAATACTATGCACTTTGTCCTTATAAGAAAAAGCTTTAATTATAATTATTTATAAATTGGTAGATATTACAAATTGATGATCTATATATATATAAATATATATATATATATATATATACAGTGTGTTCCATTTAAAACGAACCACCCTAAATTTCTCGGAACCTGAAATTTTTTTGAAAAAACGCTGAGACACGTAAAGTTTTATATCGAGGGGGACAACTTTTCATGTCAAATTTTGGTTTCTCACCCTACCCCTTGCGCCCAGGAGCTACCCCCTTAAGAATTTGAATAGGGAAGGGGTATCGACCAATACATCATTTTAAAGGTCTTTCAAATCCCTATACATCAATGTTTTATTTTTTAAAATCGGTCTGTTTATTTTTGAGATATTTTAGAAAAACCATGCAATATGCTTTTAAAACTTCCCACCTTAAATTTTTCGAAAACTGGAAGAATTTGGAAAAAAGGCGGACACACATAAAGTTTTATATCGAGGGACACATTTTTTGGCGCTACTGCTACTTTAACCTCCTTGAGGTCTGCAACCCCTAACTCAAAAATCCTAAATTTCAAAAGGTATCATGTGACACATCATTTTAAAGCTCTTTTAATTGGCAATACAACTGTGTAATTTTGTAATTTACCAATAGGTTGTAAAGAAAAAAACATTTTTTATTGTTATTACCGTATCAATCCTGCAAAATTTGGTCAAAACGGCTTTGGTGAGTTGAATCTCTAATGTCTATGTATAATAAATTTCGGAACTAAACAAATCTCATCGATGAAAATCTAAAAATAAAAGAAACTAGATTTAGAAAAAACCAATGCCTATGAATTACATTCTAATAAATTTTTTACTGTTTTTGTTTGAAGAACTAAACCATTTAAAATAACTTGTTGTCAATCGTTTTTTGCTTATTGTTGATAAATAAAGTTTTTACCTAAAAACGCTAATGTTTGAACGTTCGATGCATTGTAAATCACTATTCTTACATTGCTTAATTGTTTAAATATGGTGTACACATTACAAGAACGTGTTGAGTTGGTAGGCTGCTATTACGAAAATCAAAAATGTGCTCGAAGAGCTGCAAGGGTGTTCAACGAAAATCACCCTGATTGCAATGTTGGCCACAAATCACAAATACATCGGGGAATTAATATCAAAATTTGTTGAAACGGGTTCAGTTTTAAATATAAAAAAGGCTTCCAGAGGAGCTGCTGTGGCGGTATTGGGACATATCCAGCTTATGCCAAATACGCAGTCAATACGGCAAATATCTGCAACTTCCGGCGTGAGCAGCACTAACGTATTTAGAATTTTACACAAAAACAAGTTTCATCCCTACAAAATTCGGCTGGTACATGAATTAAATGAAGACGATTTTGATAAAAGACAGGAATTTTGCGAAATCATGAGTGACCGCCTTATTCAAAATCAAAATTTGTTGTACAACATTTGCTTTTCGGACGAGTCAACTTTCTCTCTTAATGGCAAGGTCCATCGGCATAACTGCAGGTTTTGGAGTGATACAAATCCTCATTTATACAGGGAAGTTCATACTCAACATCCGCAAAAGTTGAATGTTTGGGCAGGAATCTTGGGGGACCATTTAATTGGACCTCTGTTTATTCAAGTTTATTTGAACAGCGAAATGTATCCGAACATGAAGGAAAATGAAATTGATGGCTTGATAACCCAAACTTTGGAAGATAATCCCTTGCTTGCTGAACAGGACTTACATTTTCAACAAGACGGCGCTCCTCCTCATTACGCAGCTCCAGTTCGTCGGCATCTAGATATGCGATATCCTGAAAGTTGGATTTGAACGAAGAGGTCCTGTAGAGTGGCCTGCCCGATCACCTGACTTAAATCCACTCGATTTTTTTTTGTGGGGATACCTTAAGTCGAAAGTTTTCGTGAGTCACGAGATCGTGACACAACCTGCGTCTTTGGATGAACTACGTCAACGGATTATAACAGAGTGCCGTCAAATAACTCCAGCGATGTTCCGTAATATGAGGGAGGGATTTGAATCCAGGCCTTATTATTGTTTGCAAGA